CTGACAGAAATGAAATATGGTGCAACACTCTGACAGAAATGAAATATGGTGCAACACTCTGACAGAAATGAAATATGGTGCAACACTCTGACAGAAATAAAATATGGTGTATGACTGACAGAAATAAAATATGGTGTATACCTCTGACAATTAAAATATGGTGTATACCTCTGACAGAATTTAATACATGCATCATACTGATAGAAATATAATACTGTGCATCAGGATTACCTCGGTGAATCCATTTCCCATAAGGTTAAGGGCAGAAAACAAGGCTAATTCTTGTAGCATACCTTTTCATCTTTTCATGCAATTGTATAGTTATGTGGTGGGGATCTCAAGAGTTCCAAAAACATAAGCCAAAGACTTAAGTCTCTAGAGGAAGGCCATACTCTGGGGCCAATTTATGCCCAAGAAATTATATTTATTATATGATTATGGGTCGGGGATGCTGATCTAAATAACCATTTCAAACTTATGATGGAAGGGACAAAATCCAATTTGGGATTCCCACAACCTAGGATTCTTTCCAGTCAACATGATTAATAGCCATGTCCCATTGTTGCCGGGGAAAAGTTGAAAAGCAAATAATGGCCAAATTACCCCCTTTTGACCCCTCAGCCTCCAAGGTTGTCAACCATTTGTACACTTGAATCTCTACTTAGAAGCTATCCCAGTCAAATTTGGTGAAACAACTATTGAATGGTTCAGAGGGTGAAGTGGTTTGAAGAATCTATTGACAGAAAGATGCCATTGCAAGCTCACCTTGGTCTTTTGAGAATTCAGTTATCAACTTACCTGTATCGTTTATGATTATCCTAAAATTCAAAGGTAAAACATTGTTGTGAAAACCAGTACAGCTAATGGAAAACTTGGTCAGACTGGAGAACCCACGGGTTGGACTACAGTCACATGAACCAACTACTGGCATATCATTGGTGACAGTGTTTAAGAGTGAGGCAGATCCAAACAATCTAAGGTCGTTTGTAACGTCAATCAAATCTGTAAAAAAAATGAAATAATTCACAAAAACACAAAAATGCATTAACAGATTCTATGTGATTGTTTGTTAATATAAAACACCTAATCCATTATGTTTTTGAAAATTTGCTTTGCTTGCCTAAAGTCTGATGTACTGTGTCCATCACATACTGTCGGTATAGCTAGTAATGACAACACCTTTTAATTCCTGATGGTATTACCTTTTACCTCCTGATGGTATTACCTTTTACCTCCTGATGGTATGACCTTTTACTTCCTGATGGTATGACCTTTTACTTCCTGATGGTTGACCTTTTACCTCCTGATGGTATGACCTTTTACTTCCTGATGGTATTACCTTTTACTTCTTGATGGTATGACCTTTACTTCCTGATGGTATGACCTTTTACTTCCTGATGGTATGACCTTTTACCTCTTGATGGTATTACCTTTTACTTCCTGATGGTATGACCTTTTACTTCCTGATGGTATGACCTTTTACTTCCTGATGGTATTACCTTTTACTTCCTGATGGTATGACCTTTTACCTCCTGATGGTATTACCTTTTACTTCCTGATGGTATGATCTGTTACTTTCCCATAGTATGATCTGTTACTTCCTGATGGTATTACCTTTTACTTCTTGATGGTATGATCTGTTACTTTCCGATGGTATGATCTGTTACTTCCTGATGGTATGATCGGTTACTTCCTGATGGTATGATCTGTTACTTCCTGATGGTATGATCGGTTACTTCTTGATGGTATGATCTGTTACTTCCTGATGGTATGATTTGTTACTTCCTGATGGAATGACCTTTTACCTCCTGATGGTATGACCTTTTACTTCCTGATGGTATGACCTTTTTCTTCCTGATGGTATTACCTTTTACTTCCTGATGATATGATCTTTTACTTCCCGATGGTATATGACCTTTTACTTCCTGATGGTATGACCTTTTTCTACCATAAATATTGCATTTGACCATAAATATATCCAATATGAGTAGACTTTCCAAAAGTTGGTGCATCTTGCCACCTTTTTTCAATATTGTAAATCAATATACCAGGTATATATTATGATTTTATCTTTTGTATATGAGGGATATGACAGACATCAAAAATGTACCTAGGAACGTTTATTAAATATATATCACCATTAAAACTGTATCGGGAGGTCAGTGTTTAATATTGAGATACGGAAGAGGTTGTTAGGTTAATATTGAGATATGGAAGAGGTTGTTGGGTTAATATTGAGATATGGAGCAGGGTGTTGAGTTAATATTGAGATATTAAGGAGTGTGTTGGGTTAATATTGAGATATGGAGGAGTGTTGGGTTAATATTGAGATATGGAGGAGTGTGTTGGGTTAATATTCAGATATGGAAGAGGTTGTTGGGTTAATATTGAGATATGGAGCAGGGTGTTGAGTTAATATTGAGATATTAAGGAGAGTGTTGAGTTAATATTGAGATATGGAGGAGTGTGTTGAGTTAATATTGAGATATAGAGGAGAGTGTTGAGTCAATATTGAGATTTGGAGGAGGGTTGGGTTAATATTGAGATATAGAGGAGTGGGTTGAGTCAATATTGAGATATGGAGGAGGGTGTTGAGTTAATATTGAGATATTAAGGAGAGTGTTGAGTTAATATTGAGATATAGAGGAGAGTGTTCAGTCAATATTGAGATATGGAGGAGTGTTGGGTTAATATTGACATATAGAGGAGAGTGTTGGGTTTATATTGAGATATGGAGTAGTGTGATGGGTTAATATTGAGATATGGAGGGGTGTGTTGGGTTAATATTGAGATATAGAGGAGAGTGTGGAGTCAATATTGAGATATGGAGGAGGGTTGGGTTAATATTGAGATATAGAGGAGAGTGTTGGGTTTATATTGAGCTATGGCGGAGTGTGATGGGTTAATATTGAGATATGGAGGAGGGTGTTGAGTTAATATTGAGATATAGAGCAGAGTGTTAAGTTAATATTGAAATATGGAGGAGTGTGTTGGGTTAATATTTAGATATAGAGGAGAGTGTTGAGTTAATATTGAGTTATGGAGGAGTGTGTTGGGTTAATATTCAGATATGTAAGAGGTTGTTGGGTTAATATTGAGATATGGAGGAGTGTGGTGGGTTAATATTGATATATAGAGGAGAGTGTTGAGTCAATATTGAGATATGGAGGAGTGTTGGGTTAATATTGAGATATAGAGGAGAGTGTTGGGTTTATATTGAGATATGGAGGAGTGTGATGGGTTAATATTGAGATATGGAGGAGTGTGTTGAGTTAATATTGAGATATGGCGAGTGTGGTGGGTTAATATTGAGATATGGAGGAATGTGTTGGGTTAATATTGAGATATGGAGGAGAGTGTTGGGTTAATATTGAGATATGGAGGAGAGTGTTGGGTCCAACACACCTTCTTAGGACCGGCCAATAAGGCCCCCCGAAGAAGCAGACCGTTTGTGTGTGTGTGTGTTCAACAGAACTGCTAACACATCTCCGCGAGGGAGACACCAAACCCCAAGGATTCCATGACAGAAAAGCTCTGGGGTTAAATAGAGGTGTAACGATTCACCGATGCATCGATGAATCGTATCATTTCTTGATTGCCGATGCATCGTGGCATTCACCGATAATATCGCGATACAATAATAAAACAAGAGGCCCAGGGGCCTTAATAGCTCACCTGGTATTTTATTTTTCAATTTAAAACCTGCTGAGTACCATTCAGGTTTATCAAAGGAGTACAAGTAACAAAGTTGCATCTTCCTTTTATAAATATTCAATTCCCTTTGCCCAAAGATTCTCTAAAACAAGTTTGGTTAGGTTAAAATCCCTTCATCGGTACAGAAGTTGGTTAGACTTTAATGTTTTCCTCTATTTCCCCTAATGGGCCCCACTAATCTGCCCCAAAGAAGGGGAATCCACACACCTCAGTTTAAACAAAATTGATTCTTTTCTCCCTAAGCATGCTTCAGACTGCATTTGGTTTAAATCCCTTCACTTGTATAGTAGGAGAAAAAAAATCCTCTATTTCCCCTATTGGGCCCCGCTCCTATGCCGCCAGAAGGCCCACACCCTCCGTTTATACAAACTTGAGTCTCCTTTGTCCAAAGATGCTCTAGGACAAATTTGGTCAAAATCCTTCTATTGGTTGAGAAGAAGAAGATTTTTAAAGATTTACCTATTTTCCCCCTTTTGGCCCCGCCCCTCAGCCCCAAGGGGGGTTATACCCTCCGTTTATACAAAACTGAGAACCCTTTGGCCAATGATGCTCCTGACCAAATTTGGTCAAAATCCTCTGAGCCATTCAGGACAAGTAGCATTTTAAAGGAAAAAGTTGCCGGACGCCGGACGCCGGACGCTGCACCATGGGATAAGCTCACTTGGCCCTTTGGGCCAGGTGAGCTAAAAAACGGACAGTTACTGCTCTTTTAGACTGGTTACCAGTCCTGTATTGCGACCATTTATCGGTAATATTTCAGACATTTCCAGAAATATTTAGAAAAGTACTAGCGGCAATAAACTTAAAGCACACAAACTGCGCAATAAATTGACTTGACACTCAAACAAAACCGACAAAACAGAGTTCTGATATGGAGCTAGCTCCGGGCCGTCAGCAGGCAGCAAGCGCCATAAAAGGAGGAGGAAGGGAGATCACTCAGTGGCTCTGTCGTCAAGATATGGGTTACGTCACGGTAATGGGGAGGTCGGGATATTTGAATCTTTTGTTTTTGGGCTACAATGATGGGTGTAGGTATTGTTTATGCATACTAAAGTTATGGTTATTATTACTGAAATGAAATTGCACATGCATTACAAAAGCCCTATGGGTCTCCATTGTCATTTGTGTTGTAATTAATATGGTTGTGTTAATGTGTTTTGCTGTTCTGCCACTTGAAGTGGAAATGATCAAGCATGCATGTTAAAGCAAGTTAGTATATAGGTAATGCAAATCCAAAATGTGGCCATGGTTTACTGAAACCCAAAGTGATGTTGGGGAATGATATATAATGTAGTTAGTCAGGAAACCAATGGAATAACATAATACTAAGTATATCTCCCTATGCTGATGATCCTTAAAAGTTGTTATTTTTGTTCAATCTAATTCAACTCTTAATTTTCATATCATCTAACTGACATCCCATAGTAATATTAGCCTGATACATCATTGACATTTATGTTAAACAATTATGGAGAAACTAATTTATGTGACAGTGTCACTCTGCTTATTTAGATCAAAATATCCTTTTGTCAAATTAAGCTGCTAAATCCCATTTTTTGTCCTTCCCTGTTTTCTAGTGTCCACCCCGCGGCTCACGAGATGTCACAATTACAACATATAAATAAATCATATGTATATCACGGATATTGGAACATGCAGCGAAGCTCTGTTTACTAAACATACAATAAAGACAAGAGTTTTGGCGTCAATGGCTCACCAGATCAAAAATTGAAGGGTTGCCAGATTTATTAAATTATTCTGTATAGCTTGTTCTCTTGAAATCATTTCTTTCCTTCAATATCTTAACAGAAGATTTGAAATCAAATATGTTTTGTGATGGTGTGGCAAATAATACTGCCACATGGTGGCAGAGGCATCACTGATGCTTTGTTGCACAGGGTTACTAAAGTTTTCCCTAGTAGATCCAAAGGATAGTTATTTTTTATTTGTGGTAGTAGCTTGTTCAAAAATTGGCGTCAATTTTTTCCTCAGCAAAACGTGTCAAATGGGGTGCACGTCAGATGCTGCAGGGGGGACTGACCTCTTGACCAATGAAAATCCCCCTAATTGCTTCTAGCATTGAAGGGCCCCATACAGGGGATAATTATATTTAAGGGTACCCAATGGGGATATCAAAAATGAAAAAATTTAAACATTCGTTGTCTAGATTTGTTTTTGTGAACAAAAAAGAATGTCTCCCCCTTGACAGTTTAAAAGTTACGGCCCGGACAAGATATTCCTGGACACTTTGCATATTATTATTTGAACATTGACCTTGAAGTCAAGTTTTATCAGTATATCTTTAACTTAGCACTTATTTGACATTATTAGAGGAAATGCCTCCTGCTTAATTATAAAACGCATATTATATGCATGAACATGTTCTAATTGTAATTCAAAAGTCCTCAAAACTGACCCAATAGTCGCAAATGATACTTGATTGGAGTTTAAATGCCATCATATACTCACATACTAAGTTTAAGCAAAATTAGACACAGTTAGGGACCATTGGCATCACCTTTGTATACTTAATTCTATGTTTGAAACAATCAGACTTTTTTTTACCTTTGACCTTGAGGTGTAAAGGCTACAGTGACCACATGACACAGCATTGTATATCATCTGTAGGTGATGCAGGTATACTGCAAGTTTCATCAAGATGTCTTTAATGGTTTACTAAGTAAAAGTTACAGCCCAGACAAGATGTTCCTGAAAAATCTGCACATATTTGACCTTTGACCTTTGACCGGCACAAATTGTATACTCGCCATAGCTTTCTTTGGGTGTCATAGTGTTGCGTGACTTGAACCCCAGAAGTCATTCCAAATATACTCGTCCCTGAGCTAAAGACTGGTGGTACCACCAATCGTTAGGTAGTGCGACCTGTCGGAACTGGTCGTTCTTTCGATTGTTGTATCGTAAGACAGGTGGCAGGACCAGTACATGTAGTTACGACCAATCGTGCAACTACTTGAACCGTGATAATGCACGACTGGTGGTGGGTCTATGCGCGACTGGTGGTGGGTCTATGCGCGACTGGTGGTGGGTCTATGCCCGACTGTTGGTGGGTCTATGTGCGACTGGTGGTGGTTCTATGCGCGACTGGTGGTGGGTCTATGCGCGGCTGGTGGTGGGTCTATGCGCGACTGGTGGTGGGTCTAAGCGCGACTGGTGGTGGGTCTATGCGCGACTGGTGGTGGGTCTATGCGCAACTGTTGGTGGGTCTATGCGCGACTGGTGGTAAAACCATGTAAGGTAGCAGTATACAGCAGAAATGGCCCGACTCTGATAAACAAGGCACATGTCGAGGAAATGTAAACACAGCGGATTTACCCTACACACCACATGTATACATGTATATATATTTGAAAACTGCATTACATTTACAATACATATAAAGTACTGAGAAGTGTATAAACCTCTTTTTCTATGTATGTCACTTATGTGTAAACCATGGTTACCACATCAAAAAATGCCAAAAAATGCTATTTATGACCCAAAATTTGACCCCTGCAACTAGTAATTTTTTACCTAAGTTCTGTCTGAAATTAAAGATTACCTACCTGGTTGCAGAATAATCTGGGTCCCAGTAAAGTTATAAAATTTGATTTTTTGCAATTTTGCATCGTGTGTTGTTGTCAAAATTTTACCGCCTGTAAAGCTAGCTTTTCATGTGTACGCACCCTTTCGGATTATGGCCAAAATTTTATTCTCCAACCAAAAAAATCTTCTTTTTTTTTACAAATGTGAAGCTCAAATAGCCCACTTCATCATGCTTATACCAATTTTAGTACAGTTTTATATTTTTTGGAAATAAAAAATGCAGTATAGTGGCTGCCTTTAGATGTTTTGGAGAAGCAACCATTCACACATAGCTGCATAATGCCTCTATGTCAACAAACTGAGGGAGAGACAAAACATATTGTCTCATTTTTGGTAGAGATATACCAAGCTGGAAGAACAAGGATAGGGCTACAGTAAGTTGTTGTCACTTGTGCCCAATCTTTATGTAATTATTTACAATAAAATATATAAGAGCAGAGATGGCAGGAGAAATATCTCCTGTTAAAGTCTTGACACGATCTACAAAAGACAGCCCTCGAGCTGGTGCATTTAACCATAGAAATGGGACGATGATACCTCATCAGGATAGAATTTGTCCTTTGTGTTCTCAAGGTATTAGCAATGAGTATCCTTTATTTGTAAGCAGAATCAGTACGCAGAATTCTAATTTCTTTGTGTAATATAACTGTGTTCTATCTCATGTGAGTAGAATAACTCGAAAATATTTGAAATGAAAAACTTTGCATGTAGCTATATATGCGTAAATGAGATGAAGATCTACTTAGGTTCAAAGAGATTCCATTACCAAAGAATTATTGAGGATGGGTTTGGCATATATGGGTCACTGCAAGGATTGTATCAATTCACAGAGTTTGCTAGTCGAATACATGACAACATCAAGATAGAGCTCAGATGGAGTAGAGAATGTTTTGAGTGTTTGGATACATTGAGGAAAGTTGAGGATGGCCATATATAGACAGATCTCTATAAGCTACAGACAAAGAGCTCTAGGTCAGGAATGACTCCTCTCCCCCGTCTCACCATAAAGCATCTTGCATTCGGTCTTGGACTGAGGTTACGGTCTGTGAGAAGGATGAAGATACATCAAACAGAGAGCAGAACTAAAATCATGGCAATGAAGGTGCAGGATGTGACTGTTGTTGCTCTGTATGAAAAAAGATAAGTCATGTCCCGTTCAGTAACACTAAGACTGAGAATTTCAGCCCAGTAACGAATGGTAAGTGTACTGACAGGAATATCATCTACGGTTTAGTATGTAAGAAATGTGACAGGGTTGTATATGTAACGCTCATCGAAAGAATGGTTTGAGGAACATGTGAGAGACGTTCGACACAAGTCATATAGACACTTAATTGAGGAAATATGGAACACCAAATTTCTGTATGGGTGTAATATCCAGAGGAACTCTGATGGGAGAAACATGGCTCTTAACATTTCATGACGTTTTGTGTTTATGACGGCGTGCTATTATGACGTCATATATTCAACGAGTCATTGTGACGTCATACATTTTCACATAATTTCCTGTACCTCGGAATAAGCAAGATGGACGTTACTTGAAACACACGTTGACATTTCGCCATTGAAGAAGGCCAGAGGCCGAAATATTGTGACTTAGAGTGACATTTGTTCTATTTTTGTATAAATTAGATTAACATACTTCATGTGAAAGTATATCTATAGTGCTGCTACTGAGTTCCATAATATATGTAACCTCTTGTTACACACAGAAAGTATGTGTGTCTGAGTGAACAATAAAATCTGGGTGAAGAAAGCCTGTTTGACACCTCATTGACCTGCTTACATTGATTCCTCCAATATTCACTGGTAAAAGTGATCCTTGTCTAAAAAAAAAACTAAATGAATGGAAGAAATGGATGAAATTAGTAGATTTTGCCTAAAACCTGACATGATTTAGGCTGATATCTTAATTATTCAGTAACAATTCTGTTACTTAACTTTAACTAGAACACTGACAGGTCAGTAAGGGCCCCGTCTTGTGGCAATATATCCCCCATAATCATCAAGAAGCAATCTGCCCATATAGCTGAGCTTGACGTTTGCCATTTGGACTTCAAAAAGAATCGCAAGTTCATTTTACATGTACTATGATGGAGTCTTGTTTCCTTCCACCTCCATATTTGCTGGGCTAACAGAAATGTAAATACCGGTGCAATACTCATTTGTTAGCTTTGATTTGTTTTATTTCACCTTATATACCTCCTTCATCAAGAGCCAGGGTCAAAGTCAGAGATCCACTTTGTCTTTGACCATTGGACCCAAATGACCTTGACCATTAACCCAGTGACCCTGAACTTTGGTCAGTTGACTTATTCTTTAATTCCGACCAACTTTGCTTCTTGATATCATAACAAAATGTTCATCAGTGAAAAATACAATCCTTGACCTTGACCCTTTGGACCCCGTAACCTGGACTTAATGTCAGTTGACTCTGTGTTAAGTTCTGAACAACATTGCCTCATAATGTCATAACAAAATGTTCATCAGGGAAAAGGTACAAAATTTAACCTTCACCTTTGACCAAGTGACCTTTACCTTTGGTCAACTGACTCCTTGTTTAATTCTGAGCAACATTGCTCCAAAGTGTCATAGCGAAATGTTCACCAGTGAAAAGATACAAAATTTAACCTTGACCTTTGACCCAATGACCTTGACCTTCAGTCAGTTGACTCCTTGTTTAATTCTGATCAACTTTGCTTCATCATGTCATAACAAAATGTTCATCAGTGAAAAGATGCAAAATTTGACCTTGACCTTTGAATATAATGACCTTGACCCTTGGCCTCGACTTTTTACCTCGGCGTCTCTCTTTGTTTAATTCCAAACAACTTTGCTTCATAATGTCATAGCGAAATGTTCACCAGTGAAAAGCTACAAAATATGACCTTGACCACTGACCCAATGACCTTGACCTTTGGTCAGTTGACTCCTTGCTTTATTCTGATCAACTTTGCTTCATAATGTCATAACAAAAAGTTCATCAGTAAAAAGATGTAAAATCTGACCTTGACCTTTGAGCCTAATGACCTTGACCTTTGATCTTGTGTATTTCTGTGAACTGAACGCTTTGACCAAGTTTCATGTACATCGGTCAATAAATACCAAAGTTATCAGCCAGGAACAAAATTTGTGGACGGACAGACAGACAGACAGACAGAGTGATTACTATAGGGCACCCGTATCACCGATACGGGGCCCTAATTAGTATCTAGCTCTGTTTTGACTTCCTTTCCTGAAATGCTTGTTCTGATATCTGTCTTTAACTTTTCTTTTCTTCTTTCTCTTTTTGTTTTCTTACCAGCTTCTTTTTCTTTCCTTTTGTCCTTCCTTCTTCCTTATAGCAATACAGTGTGATATTAAATGAAGTAATACCTCTCTATAAGCAGTCTTTAGTGATACAAATTTCATTTTGCATAATTTGTATGGTATGAGTGGTGATACGAAAGATGATTGGTGACAAATAGGTAATTATATGATCTGAATGAATTACTGATCCATTATTATTGTCACTGTATTGAAAATATCTTTTGAAAATAAAAAAAATATAAAAACTTTTCAAGGTCACAGGGGTCATATCTGTTAAAGTACTAAATGACTTCTTCATAAGCATCAAAGGGCCCGAGTAATAAGATTTGGCCAATATTCTAGATATGCATAAACTATCAATAATTCTTTTTGATATAAAAATTGTATGTACAGGGCATGGAGGAGACTTACTAGAGCCACACTTGCTGCCTTGGTAGCCTGTCATACAGCCTTGAGTACAAGTTCCATGTACATTGTTACAGACACCCTCTAGACATTTGACCCCACAGTTGTTCTCACAGGCAGGACCCCACGTTCCAGGAGAGCAGGCTACAAATGATAGAAGAACAGTAGTTTAAACAGTTCAAATAGTTACAGACTACAAATGTTCAGCCCTCACAGGCCCCAACGTCTCAGGAAAATAAATGACACTGATCATGAAGAAGGGGAGGGAGGGAGGGAGGGTTACAAATATGAGGGAGGTGAGGAGGGGTAAGGAGGAAGAAGGGAAGGGGGAAGGGGAAAGGGGGGCAATGCTACCATATTTGGCCTCATCAACATACAAGTAACTTCACCTGAAGTCTGCCTGCATTGACTTCCAGCTGAACTGGATATGTTAAAAGTGTATATGCTTTCCTTCAGTCTGGTAACTGCAAAACCTCATGAAATGACAGGTATTTCATCCAATCTAGCCATAGAACAGGTGTTGATGACAAATACTGATGACAGAAAGAGGAACGGGAGAAACATGGAGAGTTAAGTCTATCTATCTATCTATACCAGCTTTTGCTCAGGTAAATTATTCAAAGAGCTTTGCGAGTGGCAATTCTTACACAAGCATGCAGACAACATGAAAGAGATGGCAAGACAAGAGACAGAGTGAAGAGTGAAGGGAAGATGCAATGATGCTTTCAAAGTCTGTCTGAGAGGAATTTATTTGACACAGCAGCAATTATTCAACCTGTACTTTCATCTTTCCCATTAGCAGATGACAACTTTTCTTAGTGTACTTCCTTTTTCTCCCCTCTCCCGACTCACTAGGAGTTGGTTAACATTCTGGGTAACACCCTGGATGTTATTTCATTGTTTTTTTTATTGCTCAAATCTTTAATTACGGTGTTAATTGACAATGCTTTGCAACATCATCTTCCGTTGAGACATTATAAGTAGTAGTTTCCTGGCAATTGTTTGCCTGATCAGAAGAGAAATAATGTGTATCTGACTGCTGTTTGAGAACAAGAATTACACTTAATCAGAAGTCTTGTCTGTCCCCCTTTGACCAAAGCTCGGAATTGTCATGTCAATGTTGAGTTTCATGATGAAGATGCTGTCAAAGTCACTGGATAGATGCACTACTGAAACAACTACAGTCCAGGTTAATTTTTAACATTTTGAGATACAGCATGAAACAGACAGCTAAGTGCAAAAAAGACAAAAATGTTGAAGATGCTGTCAAAGTCACTGGACCGCGAAATTAGTTATTGACTGTTGACTAATTTTGTAACAATAAAAATCAAGGTAAAAAATAAATGAGAGTCGAGTTTACTCCCTTTCCTTTCTACTTCCAGACTTGCACAAACCCCGAAAATCTTCATAGCGATTCGCAAAACCAAGGGCATGCCTTTGCAGTGTGAACAATTTTGGTCACACTAATAATACACAGCTTTCAACACATTTAGGATGGATTCTCTTTTATTACTAAGTTAAGGTATTTAAGATTATATAAACATTTTACATTGATCAACTTTATTGCACTTGAGAATAGATGGTACATGTGACCGCCATTGGTACAGCCCTTGAAATATCTGAAATGTTCGTTTAAGATCTGTTTGATTCAATTTACAGATCTTTGACTGGTTCTAAATTGTTTTCTGTGATTTATGGAAAGCGTTTGACCATGTATTGGCATAGAGGATTATTATTAAAATCAGAAAAGTATGGTATCTGCAGAGGCTCGCTTTTGAATGGGTTTTAAAGTGATTATTTATTGAACAGAAGACAGCTGACTGTTGTTCTTGAAAATATTGTATCATCAGAAGTTGATTCAATTAAAGCTGGTGTTCCCCAGGGTCAGTACTTAATTGGGCCACTGCTATTTTTAGTACATAAACGATATATATCTGGAACCCTACAATCCTTTGCTAGACTTTTTGCTGATGATACTGCACTTTGAGCGTACTCGTCAAACAACCCAAACGAAATGGAACAGGTGATAATTAATCTTGATTTAGAGCATTAACTTTCTATTTGGCTGCAAAAATGACCTATAAAATTAAACCCAAACAAAACAGAGGCAATGGTATAACAAATAGGAAATTAAGATCTATTTCCATATTTGAATTTGACAACTCTTCCAAGCAACTAGTACACAAGCACAAACACTTCGTCAATAATATATCAGTGATGACGCCAAATTGAACTGTCACATAGAAGATATCATTCAAAATGCTTCTAAATACTTGTCAACTCTTCGAAAACTCAAATATGCACTCAGTAGGAAACTCCTTGAAAAACTCTATCTAGTATTTGAATATGCATGTGAAGTGTGGAATAACTGCAGCGTTACGAATATACCTAGAATAGAAAATCTTCAATATAAAGCTGCCCAAATTATCACTTGTCTGCCAAAATATACAAACAAATCTCTGCTGTACAAAGAACTTAACTAGGAATCACTTCAAGACAGAAGATATAATAGGAATGTAGTATGCTTCATAATATCACCAAAGGAAATACCCCGCAATATCTTCGATCTTTATTGCCACCATACGTATCTGAACAATCAAATTATAATCTTAGAAACTGTGACCATTACCAATATCTACCAAGTAGGCTTTGTCTTACAAGCTAGGTCATCATTTATACCAAAAGTTACAAGTATATATGGAATTTTCTACCTTATGATGTTAAGCATGTTGACTCCCTAAAACTTTTTAAGAAATCCATTAGAACACAGAAATGTAATCCTAGTGAGTAAATATTTGCTGAATTTGGACCAAGGAAAGCTAACATTATTCATTGTCGTCTATGAAATAATGCAAGCTCCTTAAATTATGACCTTTCAGAACTAATTTAATACCATCTTCATCATGTGAGTGTTACAAGGTTTCATAGGAAAGATTCTAGCCATTATCTACTGGAATGTCATTCATATCAGGCCAAAAGAACAGAAATGATTAACAAACTGAACAGGTATTCAGATATTCTGCTGACCACTTTCTTTTTTGTGACAAAAATGTTCACTTACACTCAAATATACAAATATGTCAAGCAGTCCAATTGTTTAATTATTCTCGTAAATAAACGTTTTCATTAAAACAAGAGGCCCAAGGGCCTTAGCGGTCACCTGAGTTATGTCACAGGTACTGGTAGCTTTATTTTATTGTTTAGATGTGATGTGGAAATCAGCATGTTATAACTAAAAGAAATACAATACTTGTCATGTCATCAAAGGATAGGAATTTTAAAATATTGGTAAATGTTCCCTTTGGGGCCCCGCCCTGGCCCCTAGGGTTGGGGTAGGAATCCCAATTTAACACTTTAAAACCATCTTCCTCCAAGGATAATTCTGACCAAGTAAGAATAATTTCCTACAGAAATTTGCCAAATATACCCAAAAGTGTTCTTTCCCTATATAAACTTATGTAAACTTTACCCCCTCCCCAAGGGAGAACGGATAGCTCTGGGGTCCTGAAATTTACAATTAAAGTAAAGCCCCTGATGATCTTTCCATCCATGCAGTAAAAATGACTGTAGTATCTCTAAGTCTGGAGAAGAAGATTATTGAAATATTGGTAAATTTTCCCTTTGGGGCTCTGCCCTGGCCCCTAGGGTTGGGGTAGGAATCCCAATTTTACAATTTTGTAGCCTCATCTTCCAAGGATGATTCTCACCAAGTTTGAAAAAAATCCATTTTCTGGTTCTTGAGAAGGAGTGGAAAATGTAAAAAGTTTACGCACAACGGACGCTGGACGGAAAGTGATCGGAATTGGTCCTCTGAGCTTTAAAACAAGAGGCCCAAGAGGGCCTGATTCGCTCACCTGAATATTTAAGCAGTCATAGCAAAATATTCTCATTAAATATCATATTGCACTAAAAATATTTCCCTCGCAAACTTTGTTGGCTCCATCTGTTGAAACTATCAGCAAAATATTATTATAAGATTCTATGCTTTTTGATTCTTCTTCAGAAGTTGCTTGACATATTTTTTCCTGTGACCTTGTAAGTAGGTCAATGTCATTTTCCTTCTCAAATTGGTTAGCTCTATTCCAAAAAGCTACCAGCCAAACTTATGAATCCATTTCTTTTAGTTCTTAAGAACAAATCCTTTAAAATGTTGTTGACCTCTGTGACCTCTAAAGTAGGTTGAGGTCATTTTCATTCGCAAACCTTGGTGAGCTCTATCCTTGGAAATAACCAGCCAAATATTATAATTTTATGCCTTTTAATTCTTCAGATGAAGTAGTTTGAACCGTTTGACATATTTGAACGCTGTGACCATGAAAATAAGTCAAGGTCATTTTCATTCGCAAACTTTTTTTGGCTCTTTCCCAGGAAATAACCAGCCAAATATTAAGGTTCTATACCTTTCAGTTCTTCAGAAGAAGTTGTTCTAAGCATTAGACATATTTGACTCCTGTGACCTTGAAAGTAGGTCAAGGTCATTTTCATTCACAAACCTTGTTGGGCTCTTTCCCAGGATATAACCAACCAAATATTAAGGTTCTATACCCTCCAGTTCTTCAGAAGAAGTTGTTTGAAGTATTTCACATATCTGCCTCATGTGACCTTAAAAGTAGGTCAAGGGCATTTTCATTCTCAAACTTTGTTGGGGTCTTTCCCAGGAAGCTACAAGCAAAATATTTAGGTTCTGTAACTTTCAGTTCTTCAGAAGAAGTCGTTTTAAGCACAAGACATATCTGACTCCTGTGACCTTGAATGTAGGTCAAGGTCATTTTCAAACTTTGTCGGGCTCTATCCCAGGAAACCACCAGCCAAATATAAAGATTCTATACCTTCCAGTTCTTCAGAAGAAGTCGTTTGAAGTGTTTGACACATTTGACTCCTGTGACCTTAAAAGAAGGTCGAGGTCATTTTCATCCTCAAATTTTGTCGGGCTCTATCCCAGGAAGCCATCAATCAAATATAAAGATTCTATACCTTTCAGTTCTTCTGAAGAAGTCATTTGAAGCAATTGACATATTTGACACCTGTGACCTTGAAAGTAGGTCAAACTAATTTTCATTCTCAAACTTTGTTGGGCTCTATCCCAGGAAGCCACCAGCCAAATATAAAGATTCTATACCTTTCAGTTCTTCAGAAGAAGTCGTTTGAAGTGTTTGACACATTTGCCTCCTGTGACCTTGAAAGTAGGTCAAGGTCATTTTCATTCTCAAACTTTGTTGGGCTCCATCCCAGAAAGCCATCAGCCAAATATGAAGATTCTATACCTTTTAATTCTTCATAAGTCGTTTGAAGTTTTTGACATATTTGACCCCTTGAAAGTAGGTCAAGGTCATTTTAGTTCTCAAACTTTGTCGGGCTCCTACCAACAAAGCTTTCAGCCTAATACCATGACTCTAGGCCTGTCCGTTCTTCAGAAGAAGTTGTTTAAAGGAAATGTTGACGGATGAGGACGGACGACGGACGCCGCCCCATGACATAAGCTCACTTGCCCTTCGGGCAGGTGAGCTAAAAACAGGACAGGACCAAATGTAGTCACAGATGACAATGACCTCATCTGTATAAATCTCTCCCCAGTCGCAGATGATAATTATCGTACCTTTTTTAATTCAATTTATTTTTCAATTACATCATCATCATCACAAACATACTGAAATAACTGCCTACTTTGTGTTTAATAAATGCAACTTGAAATCCAATTCTCCTCCTCTTCATCATCATTACAATTGTATTCATAGTCTCCATCATTTAACACCATCTACTACATCAATATAATGTGGTCATTAAAAAATTATCATCATTTTTATAATCCTATCTGTATACAAATACTTTCTGGCCACAGATGACAGTTATCCTACCTAAAGTGCACGAGTCCCCAAGGTAACCGGAAACACACCCTGCAATACATAGTCCCGTCACTGAGTCACATTCTACTCCTGCACAATGAACTGGGCAAGGACTCTCACAAGTTGGTCCAAATGTTCCCGGCCAACATCCTGTAATTACATGTTTAAAAGTAATGGTTATAGATAAATGTTAATAAATATGACACAGATTTTAAAGAATTTCCTAGTGGAGGCCTTGAGGGCCAATAAGCTGGGCAGCATATTAGATTGAGTATCCCAATTCAAGAAACTTAGAGAGTTCCTAAGGGTACGGGCAGAATCCAAAGTCCAATCTCTGTATAGCACTTTCATGCTCAGCAATTGTGTCTAAGGTTATAGGGTGCAAAATCTCAACTGTTTCAATGTAACTTTGTGACCGCAAAAGACTTAAGTCCCAATATTTAATGGGCAGGGCATTTAATCTGATAGCATGATTGTGGTGAATCTTCATGTCCAGCAATAATTGTATATAAAATTGAACTGGTTGTATGTGTTGGGGATCTCATGTTATGACCAAACAACTAAATTCTCCTAAACATATCTTCATACTCTGCAATTTAGGGCGAGGATCTCATTTCAACTGTTTACATGTTTGGACCCAGGGACTTAATCTGTAGGGTGGGGCAGACCCCAGGCCAATATACACACACATCATTTNGGGGGGGGCAGGATTAATGATAATGATTAATGCAATTCACGCAGCAATTGGGCAATGAATGTGGACTATAGAATCTGGCGCATCCATAATCTCCATGCTTTAGATACCATCAATTCATATAATGACATGTTTATTTGTTTCATACAGCTTCTGAAAATGCTGATTTGAAATTCCATAATTCATTGATTTTACCACTTTTATTCATACCATCTGCCCCTAATTACTCTTAACTCTTGGACCAAAAGGCCAATCCTAGCAGAATACCTGTATCTGTCTAATTCTTATGCCCATTAATTGCATCATTATAGCCTAATTATAGGACAGGAATCTCAACAATTTCAAAGTTCTATTTTTGTTCTTGCCCCTTCATTTTCATATTATAATACCTACCAGTCCCTTTGGGCTAGGTGAGCAAACAAATTATAATGCCAATCAAACACTTTCTAAATGGTAGGACAAGCAGTCTCCAACTAAAATACGAAAATGTAAGTAATACTACTTAAATGGTTAAAAAACAAATGACAGTGTCATATATCCAACGTTTCGAAAAGTAGAGCAGATTGGGGTTAATCATCAACCGTCATTCAGTTTTGGTATTTAAATGTTATTTTTAAGGGGAGAAAATCAATGAAACATGAGAATAATGTTCAGGATGTCGTTTGACTTTCCTTTAGTTTAGCTTTAGTTTCTCATTATTTCAATCATCCGAAGTTTAACTTGTTGACTAATGTGTAGAATTGCTGTGATATATTACCCTGTAAACAAACTTTTAAATCTACATTAAGGGTGCGAGTAATGTTAACACAAAGGATTTCAAATGTAACCCTTAAATATAATTTTTGTTTATTTTGTATAAAAGGGTTTTCACAGCAATCCTAGAGAAACCAAAATTGCAAAGGTTATAATCATAGCCCTTTATAATAGTGTATTTTCATTCGACCCCATAATGGGAAATCTTTTGATTTACACAAAGATGTTTTGGTCCTTTATTATAAATAAGGGTTTATTACAAAAGGAAAATAATCCCTCAACATAAACAAGAGGCCCATGGGCCTTAACGGTCACCTGATATATTTATACAGAGAGTTGATTTTGTTTTTAACATGAACAGAAATATTATTCAAAGTGACAAAAAACAATAAAACCACCTTACTCAATATCTAGCATACAGATTTCAGACTAAAAAGGATTTGAAACTAGCACCTCCAGCCCTTGGGGGTAGGGCTGGCTCAAAATTTTCAAAGTATCAAACTGTCAATTCAAGGTTATAATTCCAATCAAGTTATTAACATGTA